TACTACTCGTTCTAGTTTAGTTCGGTTCGGGGTGGGGGGGGGGCGAGCTTTGTAGCTGCAATTTAACTTCGAAAGGAAGAATGACAATTTGACCATTTACCTAGAAAGAAAGGAAGGTCAAGTTTTTTTTGTAGAGCCGTATGCACAAAAGATGCATGTATGGTTCTTGAATCAGATTTTTCAAAAAGTTACTATTAATTCTAAAAAATTTATTATTTCCTTGTGTTCATTATTTGTCCTTTTTAATTAAACAAAAAAATTCTCCTTAAAAATGTTGTATATATCTTTCATTATGTTATCTTTTTTGATTTAGTAATAAATAACACAAAACACACATACAACTTACGTGAAAAATGAATAGCTAAAAAAAGATAGGCGGTAAATATGGCTAAATAATTGGTCATAAACAAACCCGCCCAACTGAAAACAAATGCAATAAATACTCTTAATTAGCACTCCAAATTTATTTTTAAAAAAAAGTTTTTTCCACCTACAAACCAAACCCTAAATTATTTCAATTTCATTTGACAAGTTTTGTCACTGGTCAATTTGCGGTATAGGTAGTTCAAATTGACCCAAACTTGTAGATGAACTTGTTTGGGTTATGCCCAAATTGGCATGTCAACGAATATATACCCGACTCAACCCTCCCAAGTTTGGACAACTTTTGCAAGTATATTTTCACGGGCTAAATGGCACCTTTTGGAAAATCATGCCTTTTGAAACAAAATGCATGTACGTCTTCAAAATATAGAAATAGGGCTTGTTCAGAAGAAAATTGTCTGCAGCCTTTTAGAGCACATGAAAGTTTAACTAGGGTTAAAATGCAGGATCTCCTTGGAAACATGATGGGTTCTTAGTTTGTGCTGAGCAAGGCTTTTAGAATGAAAAAAGTTTTCACCAAGGATGGAAAATGTCAATTTCCAAGAAGGTCCCAAAGTTTGGAACACACATAAAAAAACATGTATATCATATGTCGTTTGCAACTTTTAATTTGAAAACCACTATCCATGCACAGGACTCCACCAGCGTAAACCACTAACCTCCCATTCTATCAACAGAAATCATTTACACTTCCATTCCAGTTTACAAGATTACATTGCACGCCACATTTTTTAAAGAAAAGTGAATAACTACCTTCCCTTCTTATGGTTATTAAAGTTTTAATGATGTAATATTAATGTTATATGGCATTCCAAGATTACCACAATTAGTGTTGTAAATCATAGAAATCAATCATGTTAGTTAGTACTTGAAATAAAAGAAAACTCACACTATAATAGTCACATTCGATTTCTTTCATTAAAGGGTTTTTTCTTCAATGAAGGGTAAATTATAGAATAGCTTGCTCTATGTATTTGAAACTAGAGGGGAGGAAGGCCCTTCCTCCCGCGCTTAAGCAAGAAGAAATTATTGCTAATAGAGGTGATTCTATTACATGTATAATATACATGGAGAGTACAAATGTATTTGATGTGAAAATGAACTTTCTTACAAAAAAAATATATAATTGTCCATTAAAGTACAACCATTCCACATAACTACAACTTAAATATCACAAGCGCATAAAGGCGTCGTCAAGTATTGACCTAATCTCCAAGTACAACAGTACTGCAGCATGCTCATTAATTGCTCCAACATGTGGTATTTTCCTTTTATTGTCATGCGAACACCTTCACAGATTAACACTTCCATTTACCAATACCAACTTCTCTGTTCATCAAGATGATCTGAAAATTTCAATACATCATTCTCCCTCCATCCAAATTTTATATGACACATTTTCTCAATCTGGAATGTCCTAAAATGTTTGAGACGATTCTTCTTTTTTTTTTTTTTACCTTTTTTGGTTTTTGGTGTCAATACAAACCAGACTTCCTCTGAAAATTCTGGTTCATTTATGACTAATTCAACTTTAAGATATGATGTCTCCCTTACCACACAAATTTCTTTCACTTTAATATATTTTTACTCTCACTAGCATAATATGCAAGTTATACTTATCTTTAGAAGGTTCTTCACAACAAAACTACCTCATGTAAAATGGGAAAGCCTGAGTAATACAATTCATAGCATCGGCAAATATATTATGTCAAATTTTGGATATATTACTTTTAACAATTTTTAAGTCAAACAACCCTCAAAAAGAGCACAAAGTGGGTGTGCCTGGCATCTTTATAAACCACACACCCAAGAAGAGATGAGTGGGTCCACATGCAATTCGTCAACCTTTGACAAAGAAAATTAGTAAACATGAAATAAATGTGAAAGTTATTGAACCACCTCCAGCAGTCCTCCACAGAACAGGGGAAAAGTCAAAAATCAGCATAGTAGGATCAAAAGTGAGGCCTGTTGAAACTTACATTGAGATCAATCCCCTCGTTGCCAACGCTTGCAACTCCAAATGACCCAAGCACAGCTGAGATAATCTTTTAAATATGAAAGTAGAAATTAATTTGTTTCCTGAAACATAAGGCAAATAGTCTACATACACTGTCACAAGGAAAAAATAAGAAGCATGCTCACCCGATTCAGGTCAGGGAAAGTTCCATCTCCATGTTCGGATAAGTTGTACGTTCCAACAACTACACCAGGACCCACTCGGTTTCCTTGAATATGCCCAGAACTTGATGCAGAAGCAGTCCCTACAGTTTTCATAAATCTCGAAGGTTATGAAACTCATAAACATGACCGGATCTACATAAAACATCCATCAAAATTATTTTTTCTTCTAGCAGTCCCTACAAGTTTCCATAAATTTTGAAGACTAGAAAGAACTCGCAAACATGATAGGATCTATATAAAGCATTCATCAATTTGTGTATTGTTTCTTCTACCCTTTTTTCAACCTCCAAGGCTGTTTTTTGGGTCAACTCAACCACCTAGGTTGAAAACAACTGGTTTACTCGAAATGTCTTTGATTTGTTTTATCTGCGATTACTTTCCTCACCAATACTAAGTTTCCAAATATCCAACAATTAAACATTATAACAACAAAGTGAGATCACAAGAGCAGAACCTACACAACAAGGGAAGTTTGACTTGCTCTAGAACTTCATGTCTACTTCCAAATGAAACACATTACGGCTCAAACCATAACAAACCTTGAAGATCAGGGGTGCTCTCTGATGAAGGTTGCCTCACAACCAAATGCAAAGTGTGTCCATCTTCTACATCTATTATGTAAATCGATGAAGGAATTCAAGTATCTAAATTGAAGTCCCAGAATCCTAGGATTGGATACAAGTAGTGGTACCCTTGAAGAACAATGAATAACAAGAAGGATACGGTAAGCTGAAAGGAGCTGATCATCCTTCAACACTTTTCCCCGGCATATGAGCCGTTGTTGTTCTGACAAGACACCAGTAACTGTGGCAATTTGTTCCTTCAGTGCTGGAACTGGAACCTGCATTCAAAGCAAAAAAAAAGAAAAAAGAGAAAAAGCAATATCATGAGTATTGAAGCATGTTTGAAAGAGAGAAAAGAGCTACCAATGTCAACTTAATAGAATGATTAGTGTACATGTGATTCTGCTTCAAATCAGACATGAAAATGGAACTGGAGTTCTCATAGATATTACAGGCTCATATGCACTGGAAATGATTGCTTAAAAGGTTCTATTTCCTAACGAACTATATAAACAAATTACTAATGGAAGAATAGCCCTTCCGTATTTGTTTCTTTCCTTTTTTCTCCCCTTTGACAGGTATAAGAGCCTTCTTCCTTAAGGCACAGAATACAAAAGGCAAAAGATGTTTACACATTTATCCACTCGCAATGTATATGTCTGCGAGTCCAATGTCTTTATCTTTATTTCAACAGTGGTCTCAGGACATTTAGCATCATCAAACCCACAAATTTTCACGTCTTCAGCACCGTTGTTACCCATCTCACCAGGTATTTATTGACCCCTGAAACATAGAAAGTAACATTCAGTTGATAAAAAAATATAAATAATGAGAGAGTGAAAAATAAGAACTTCTCACGTTGCTCAAGAGATAACCCAACCTTCATCCAACAAGTTAATTACGTCTAACAAAAGCCATCATTACCCAAATGCCTAAAGAACCCTAAATTCGCAGACCCTAAACACTAAAAATTCAGTCTTGACAACTTTTATTACCACCTCACTATAAACACAGGCATGCACACACAAGAGTACCTAAAAAACAAGAACAAAAATCTCAAACCCAGAATAGTAAAAGCCCAGTCTTGACAATTGCTATTACCACCTCACCATAAACACAGGCGCCCACACAAGAGTGCCTAAACAAAAAAATCTCAAATCCAGAATAGTAAAAGTTCAGTCGTGACAACTGCTATTACCAACTCAACACACACACACACACACACACACACACACACACACACACACACACACAC